CAAAAATCGAAATGCAAATGATGTAAGTTATTTTTACATGACGTGTTTAGTTTATGTGATTTTAGCAACTCCTGACAATTTATGCATTACCGTTTAGCGATTTCAAAGGATGATATAATATCGGCACGAATATTGGAACTTTTTATTTAAGAATAGACTATATTTTTTATAAACTGTATTTTTTGAATGTGCTAGTTCTCTAATTATGATGCCTATGCTAAATTCTCGTTTGCAACTGGCATAGTGCGAAGAATGACGGACCGCAGCACACCCGAGAACAATGGCCCACAGCTCCAATTCGGTTACATCCATCCTCATTGACGTCTATAGGTGGCAACTAGTGTTCAAAGCGCGCGGTCTCAAACTACCGAGTATAGAAGTAGTGTGAACGGTTGTGCGCGGTGAGGCACTGCAGCAAACGACTGAAAGCGCATGTCTTTGCCACTAGTGTAAATGGGCCTTTAGAGGCAAACCAAACGCCAATCGGCCGCCTATCATATTCGGCTACTAATTGGGAGCCCTTTTCGGGAGTCACATGCTCTAGGAGCTGAATCTGCATAAGACATCCGAAATAAGCGGCTGCAGACTGTCCCACGCTCACCCTGATCAGTAGTTGACACAAGTTTTTAGCGCCAGCGTGACCAGCCCTTGATTCAGAAACCCCGTCGATGCAAGAGTAGGCGCATGAACTTCTACACGCGTTCGTTTCAACACTCATGCATTGCGTGTACGTCAACGTGGGGGCGTTACGTTTTCTTGATTTGAATGTTTTTTTGCTCACGCAAACCACTTCTACGCTTTTGTGGCGCAATTTTGGAACGAAATTTTATGGTCGCGCCAGCGTTTGCACGAGCTTCATTACGCGTGCAATGATTGTCCATCGACACGCGACCATCACGCGTACTTAACTTACACGCGCGCGTTGCATTGTCTTCGACCTGCATACCGTGCGTTCATGTCAGTACGTTTGCAAAACGTTTCCGTGAACGTGCTTGCGCTACGCTTGTGCGAACTTCCATGCGATATGTGTACATGAACATGCGTGCATTGCTTGTACGTCAAGAACCGTGTATTGCTTGTGTTCACCAAAACACCAACGTTGGCGTGCCAAATACACGCGCCTCGCACTCGCCACACGGTTGTCAGGCAATGGTCCGGATTCTAATCAGGTGCTTATTTCCCTCGTACAACCAGGACCTAAAGCGGATATAGAGCCGCTAATTTATCCGCTAGGGGAGCATGGGGCGTCCTTGAGCCAGCGGATGACAGGAATCAAAATTTTGATAAGGTAGAGTCGATGCATATTCACTATTCCAATCGAATGGAATGTCTCCCGTTGGGGGGGGGGGGGCACGTAAATTAAAGGAAATTTTTAAATAGCCCCTTTTTTGCCATTTTATGCATTTCACGTTTTCTCTCATCTTTTAAAAAATTAATATGATCAAAATGTTTTTCTTTTAGTGATTTCATTTGGGTGCAAATTTTCAGAAAGATCGGTCATTTTGTTTAGGAGATCATTTGTATGCTAGACGATCCTCATAATTTTCGTCCTAAAAATTCATATTCAACGATTATTTAAAGAGTTAGAACAAATAGATTTCGTATAGAGAATCAATTTACGGTGTTTTTAAATAATCGAATTTAGAAAAGCTGCCAATAATCGTTTATACAAACATATTGCATTCAATTCTCAACAATAGCTCAATTTTCGAAAACTATGTATTCAGGTTGGGGGATTGTCGCCTATTGAACGCCTAGAAGACGCTTTTAACAGCAGGTTATGGCCTATTGTAAACTACAATAATTTCCACGTGGCCAAAATGAAAGGTATGCGTACGCATTCACTCGTATAATTTTTTTTATTCCTTCATTATTTTCTAACAAATTATTTCAACGTAAAGATCGTTAATGTTTATTATATGTTGATAAATAAAATGAATTTTGTTCGCGTTTTTGTTGGAGTTGGGCGATGAACAAATTTCTACAATTGTCCTTCTAATTTAAACAGTATAAGTTGATAAGCATCCACTTCTGGAGTCCTTTATTCTGAACATATATAGGAGTTAGTTTTGTTGTTATGTCTTCCCAGTGCTTTCAAATTTGATGTGTGATGTCGCAATTATAATAATTACTAATGAATATTGTAATAAAGCGTATGAAGATTTTTGAGAAGAGTCGAATGAAGAGGTCTCACTTTTATCAGAATTCGCCACTCGAAGAGAGCGTGGATTATGAGCAGAAACAGAGTGAGGCTTTCAAGAACGATGACGCCAGGTGAATATCGCTGCAGGTGATGTACGGCGCACACGGATCGGTTCCAGGCAGCAGACAACACCTCCATGTCGTTTGAGGCGTTCCAGCCTGTTGTTATTTTCACGTTTTATTGCAAGGGCAAAATAAAACCATGAAATATGAGAGGATAAGCGTTGAATGCTCTGACTCTTAAACGATAAGCTATCACCCACTTATATATAAGCTACATGTAAGATTTTGTACGGTAAAATGCAGTAGTCTAACAATTGTGCTTAATTGCATTGCCATTGCTCATACAGTGATATTATTACGGATAGGGCTGACGGTATTATTACTGTCATAGCTATTGCCTATTATGACCATATTGCTACCGCAGAAATATCATTGCTGGTATATTTTCATACAGTGGAATTACCACCTTATGTGTAATGCTCCAAACTGATTATCTCTAGCGCTAAAATACCCTTAGTATTCAAAAATTCACTGAGAAACGCCCTCTGATTCCTCGACAATTGATTTGGAACTCAAGCTTCCCCAAGTCCTGTTACTGACTCACCATTCCCCCAGGAGCTGCAGCTGGCGTCAGTGTCAGCAATGAGCATCACGGCGCTGACGGCGGCCAGCATGTCTCTGTCAGATGAACGCGTGTCAGCGAACGCTTGTGACACCTGAGAGCGCGTAGCTCCGCTGAAGGCTGCCTGAAGACCCCGGGAGTTCCTGCGACGTCCAGGCAAGATAGCATTGCAATCGTAATTTCTTGATGAAATAATATGTATTGTCAGAAGGAAACCCCGATGAAAGAAGTTTCATATGCGTTAGAGATATAGGTAAAATCGAATTCAATAATGAAAAAACACATTAAATTTCATTTCAGGCTTCCAAAACCCAAGAGCTAATCAATGCGCTCTATTAGTTGGCAATCGCAATATATGTTTTTTTAATTCTTCCCTTTGCCATGAGTGGTATTAAATTAAGCGAGTCCACCAAACGGCAACTAAAGGCAACTAATTGTGGTGAAGCCGCCGCGCTAGCCCATTAATTCACCCACCAGGTCATGTATAGGAGGAGCGCCGCCACGACGGCAGTTACGAAGTCGATAAGCAGATAGGAGTACAAGAACCATCGAGTGTATTGATATTTATGCAACAGCCATGACCTGGGAAAACAAATACAACCAGAGCAGCGTAATTTACCACGTACATCATGAACTAAGAACTTAATATTTAAATATTATATCAAGCAACAGAAACATTACTCAGAGAACTCCGATAGCTCATTATAGAGAAGCCTGTGCAACTTCCAGAATTTCAGTCAACACATCCAAGATCGAAGAGTAAAATTACCAACCTTCAATCCAGTCATGTTGCTAATATAACCTTATGGATAAGCCACCTTCTGACTACTTTAGCCAACTCAGTTCTTACCCACGTAAGAGATATGCCCGCTGCAATGAGGTTTCAACTTACCAAATTCAAAGCTGAAAGGCCCAACTCCCATATGGTGATATTTCGGCATTTATTCTAGCGCAGTTAAAGCTCTTACTATCATGTATCATCTAGCACTAGCTGTTACTATCATCTCCTGCTTACAAAATTTTGTGATTTGAAGATTTGGAAGTGGCATCAGGCTAGCTGCTCGAACATAATGAAATTGAAGTCGAGTGATTAGGCTCACTCAGATGTCAGAACATGGCACACCTAATTTATTGCCTGAGAGATCAAACACTGTTGCTTTAATATTCAAGATTGACTACAAACAGTTAAGTCGTCACGCATACAAGCGATCAGTGAGAGATGACTTGGGTCATTATTAGTAGTACTTCTTGAATGCAATGGCTTTTATTGAAGTTTAAGATGGTACCATGGCCAATAAAATACTTACAGGGTTAGTTTGTGACGCAAAACACGGCTGTGAGCCTCGTTGCACGATCCGACAGCTTTCTGAAGAGGATGGTCTGAGTACCAACTTTTCGCATTTTTGTTATTTGAAGCCACGATAATCGATCCCCCTCCTTTCGAATCTGCAATGTTTGTTCTTTTTAATTATGCGTTTTTAGCATCGGTTGCTGTCGAAACGTTTACCAAACCGTTTAAGCAGCAGACGGGACGCGTTTTCATTGGCCCCTTGATGATTAAGGCTCATCTCATGTTATCATACTTTTAATACTCATATAATACTCATTACATTATGCAGAAGAATGACTGGATGGTCTAGGTGTTTAATTGTCAATGCATAATTGATATTGTATTGCTGTAACTGAGAAGCATCAGTGCAGAATTGCTCTTTGCTCATTTCTCTTCGTCTCTGTCTTCTACTGAGCAATTTTGTGCACCTAAAGTCACGATTCAATTTGAAAACACTAGACCTTCTATTCATTGAGAAATCTATCCTGAGTCAATTTACACTTATAAGTTAGACCATGTTTTCCGGCCGTGATGGGCTGAGAAAGACCGCCAATAGAGTTAGTACATCACGGAAATGAAATATTTTTAAACCAAATCTTACGGAACGGGAACGTAATTTTAACCACCTGTCAAAACAAGGGATCAGCATGGAAGAAATCTGCAGTTCAATCGTTTCTGCATGGTAAAAATTTTAGTATAAAATTCGGAATGTAATTTGACACTTCTTAAAATATCTATATAATTTTTAATTTGTTTACTCTTAATCTTAAGACTTATTCTTACGTTAAACTTGTTATTTTTTACTTTAAACTTCTTGACAAATCATTTATACACAATTAGAGTCAGTAAAACCATTTTGCTCTACAAAAACATATATAGATACTGTAACTCAAACTTGCATAATAATTTATCTTCCTATACTCAATATTTCATGTAAACAGACCTTCCTTTTTCCTGTAATAGATAAACTCGAAGGGGGAGTAGTAGTGTTCTTCTTGTTTGCCTTCTGTTGGAGGTGTGATGTTGTCCTTTTTGAGGTGAATGGAGTTGCTCTCAACAGGGACGATGTGTTTGTCCATTGCTTGGCATGCCAGTTCAGGGTATTTTTCGACCAGCAATGTAAAAGAATTGCAGTAAACTTTGCTTCCGGACGAGTCAGGCTGACATTTGCTACAGATTTGGGCGTCGAATGCCACTTTGCACCAGGAACTTTCAATCACTGCCTTGAGAACTTCGTATCGGAAAGCCGAATGCTTGGCCTCCTGCTTCTCCTTATTCTTCTTGGCCGTCTGCTCGGCCTTCTTCTCGTCTATCTTCTTTGCCTCTCGCGTTCCCTTCTGCCTGGCCTTCTGTTCGGATTTTTGCTGGTCCATCCGCTCAGGTTTCGGTTCGGTCATCTTCGCTGCCTCCTGTTTGATCTTTTGCTTGGCTTCTTGCCTTAAGAAGTAAATAAAATTTGATAAATCTAACGAAATATTTGTAAGATTTCCTCAAAACAATTTTTTCCTACTTAAATCGAGAGAATCTGAAGACATGATATCTGATATTTTTCTAAATTTAGTTTGTTTAAGAGAAAACGCTTTCAAGCACTTCATATATGAAATTATTTTTCAAGCCTAATTGTGCATTTGATTAGTTTAGGCTTAGCGTGTGCATCGCCTGGCCTAGGCATACCAAGCTATTGTTTCTAATTAATGTCACATACAAATAAAATAGTTTTGATCGCTCTGAATTCGACACATAATTTTTTGTTGCCAATAATTTGATCTTAAATATATATATATATAAGTATTAATGTCACTTATTTGCTTTAAATCGCAAGTTGACTGAAAATTTGAAAGCAAAGAAAAGTCCACAAAAATTCATATCTTTATAGAAAACGTTTCGGAGTCCAGCTCCATCGTCAGTTCGTAGAATCTAGAACATACATAGAAAGTCACAAGTTAATACAATAATAATACTTTCCAAGCGTTAAACTCCATATTTTAGTTAACGCTTGTGGATCGCCTCCATTTTGCAATAAAATCGCCAAGATTTCATGTTTTTTATTCTCTGCCGCATAATGCACGGCTGTTAAGGACTCCTTGTTCTTCCGATTTATGAGTTCCGAAGTAGGAAATGACTTATCAAGGAGACATTTCTTCAACAGCTTTGTTCGGTCATATTTGATCATATGATGTAACGGAGTTTCGATGTTCCCATCCTCTTGAGCAAGCCATGCACGTGATCTATCGATTATTAATTTAGCACAGTCATCATATTCCTTCTCAATGGTCAATTGAAGGACCGTTTTGCCACTTCTGTCTTTCTTAAACACAGTTTGAACTGTTGTGAATGACAAGAGGTGTTTCAAGCGTCCGTATGCTCGCTTTCCATGTTCTATCACAGCTTCGTGCAGTAGAAGATTCTCCCGGATCTCATCGTCTGTGTAGATACGCGAATTCAGCTGTTGTGGTTGTATTGTTTCGCCAGTAATCTCAGTTTCTTGTGACCTGCATGCCAGAAAAAAGTTCAATTTTAAGCTTCACAATGCGTTCTAACGCTGGACCTTTCTTAGGAATGACCGTCACGTATTGAATTAGATTTTACTCATGTAAAATCACAATCAAGCTACATTTTAACCTTTTGCAGGATCCAATAACCATACAAGCAAGACATGTTCGACGTTCGCATAGCACCACTGCAATTCATGTGTTACGGCCTACGAATGCTACAATAACATCTCAATTTACTGTGTACAACAACATCCAACGTAAAAAATAAAAAAACAAGTTCACTTGTTTGTTCGAAACAGGTTCAAAATTCATTTGATTGGTCCAGCGCATTTCTCACTCGTCAGTATTGGGAAATTTGCAATCGGCGGAAGAATCACTCCCAGTGTTTGCCTATTCCTCACTTTGTTTTGGATGTTACCCTTATTTCAACAGCAGGGATTTACGGAAGCTGTACAAAACCCTATACAAAATTTACGGAAGCTGTACTGTACAAAAAAATAAATGAAACATACAACATGAAAATTCAACTTATTAAAAAATCATTGTCGAACATGAAAAAGTCGCAAATGATTTTGAACTCGCTAATCAGAGTGGAATACCAACGATCTCGAATTTTATTGTGAAGAAAGTTGCAATGAAGGCCACCAATGTTGCATAAGAATTATCGAGCCTTAAGAGGTCTAAAATAATAAAAAATTGAAGAATCTTAACCTTACCTTCGTTAAAGCGAAAGATTTAACAAGTGAGAATATGTGTGGAGCATTCATTTGTGAGAAAACTATGCCAATATATGGTTCCGGGACTCTTGCAGAAACCCATTAAGAAATCGGATAAATTCATTTAATTTTCAATTGATGTGTGATTATCGACCACTCGTCTGAAACTGATGGTGGTCGAAAAACGATGTGCTACTAAAGGTATATTTCATTCCAATAATTGGGCTCTAGCGAAGTTTCATTCTACTGGACGGGCCTTCCAACGAAAGTGAGGAAACAAAACATTACAATGGAAAATTTGTGCACGCCTTCAATACTCACGGGGAGTTGGGCTGAGGGTCATCGCCGGGATGTCTGTTCAGAGGCGTCCGCTCGCCCATCTCCACGTCTTGGCTTCTATTTTCTTTTCGTCTCATCTTGTAAAATTATTACCTGCAAGCTTTCTATAGCAACTACTTGTCGTGGAGAAAGCGTTCAATAGAGAACATCCGCTTTCAAGATTCAGCCACCTTTATAAAGCTATCTGCATGAGTCAGCTCAGTAACGGCTTATCACTCTCCATCAGTGAAACAATAGATAAGGTAAATTTTATCTTTAATATTAAATTCACTTGAATACTCCTAACGATAAGGAGTTTCAAGGTTCAAGGAAATTATACGCCGTCCTGGATTTTCAATCGATATAAATTTTAGTTAGATTGTTCAGCAGTTCTAATAAAGTCATTCATTTCAGACGAAATGGAAAACGAAACTCTAGTTTTGTTCATTGTTACTTTTAACATCAAGAATGAGAATTTTGATACGTAAGGGTTAAAATTTAGTGCAGCTGTCGGCGCCGACTGCACTAACTACTGCAGCCACGACTACGCTACTATGAACGTGGCATTGACAACTGCCCATCTTCTATTAACTTCATGTCAGCGACATGCCTGTGCTGATTAGCAGAAAAAAATGCCGCTTTGAGTAGAAGTTATAATGGGCAATAAATGCAGCCAGGAAGGGAGTGCATATGCAATAGGTTGTCATGTCGTAAATTTATGAGCATTAAAGATCATAAGAAATCATTTGAGGAATGAATATAAGTAATTATCTTATTAGTTTGCTTATATCGCAAGTTCACAAGGAATTTAAAAGCAAAGAAAACGCCAAGAAAATTCACCATATCGATATTGAAAACGTTTCGGAGTCTGATGATGGAGCTGGACTCCGAAACGTTTTCAATATCGATATGGTGAATTTTCTTGGCGTTTTCTTTGCTTTTAAATTCCTTGAGGAATGAAATGATATAAATGAATATTAATAATCAATAGCCATCAAAAATGAAGAACTTTTCTACTTGACTACGATGACTTTGTGATGCAAGTGATACCTCCTCGAGATATGTGAGATATGTAGCTTACCATATCACGGGATCAAGATAGATCATAGGATCAGCGCGGGTAAGATAGAGGGATGAAAGCTGAAGATCTGACATGATATCTCAACTGGCATCAGTCTGTAACGTGTTTCTTATCTAAACAAACAAAGCTGATAAGGCGAATTCCTTTATATTCGTAACATTATTGTGTCATGTTAGATAAAGCTGTTATTTAAATGGATTTTTCACAGCACCTGAAATAATTGGCAGATTCTGTCAATTATTATTATTGGCAGATTCTGTCAACCCAAATAAATGGTCGAACAACCGATCTGGTCAACACAGTCATGTCAGATTTAACGAGATTTCGCTTTGACGTTGACTTAAGCGTAATGTTTTCCATTTTTTTGAAATTTTGAGGGGATAAATTAATTTTGCAGTTTTAATGCAATTAATTGACAAGGTGAACATAGTTATTGACAAGTGATCGACGGTTGCCAATAATCATCAAACACTGAACAACCTTCTAAGCGAAACACTTCAGATCAAACACCAAGAAAACATCAAGCCGAATCAATTAAACATTTGTCACCACTCCAGCAGCAATATAAAATGATAACATACATAAAAAGTTGCATCCGGTCTTGTATTTTATTTTACAACTCGTATTATTCTAATACAACAAAATGAACATACTCGAGCATGCATGTATACATGTAACAAGGTCAATAATAGAATGTGCCAAGATGTAAATAAATTGCTGACATTGTTGATACATATTATTTAGTAGAATATTTTTGTAATTTGATACATTACATTTTATACTATGTACTTGATACTTTAAAACTACTATTGAGGTGTGTAACCTTCGAGTATATTTCTGGTTTGAGGAGCTCGTTCCATGGTTGGTATGAATAATTTTTTAATTAATTTCACGATAAATTCTCTTTTTATATGATATGTTTGCAGTTTTTGCTATTCATTTTTGTAAATTTTACGAGGGTTACATAACGGCACCTGTAATCGGAGAAGATTTAGCTGTGAATTTAGATATATGCACTCATTTCACTCACGAAATAATGCCCTTGTGAGCAAAGAAAGTCATAATGCTATAAAAAGATCGTTTCGAATTATGTTTGTCGAGAAATAACAAAGCACATGCATTTTATTATGCATTCAATTTTACAAACAATAAATATTTTATTGTAGTTAATTTTTTTCATCGTAGATATGAATGTCATTAGAAAAATGCACATAAGAATTCTTAGCTATACACCGAAAACCTAGGAAGAAAACTCTAACAAAGAAATAAAATAATATAATATTTATTCAACTCCACTATATAAAATGTTTTCAAATGTTTACTTTCTCTTCGTTTTAGAAAATCAAGAATTTTCGATCTACTCGATAACACAGGCAAATGGCGAATCTGAGGTTATCAGATCCAGTCCGTCTGTAACGACACAGAACACTGTAATGAAGGTAATGATGTTCACAGGGTGCTTTCCCTGTTTTGTGAAAACAACCCATTTTGTTGCAAACCTCATCCAGTTAATGGCCGTTGAATCCAAGACTCATAGGCCATTAATTAATTAATTAATGTTAAACAGATTTTCTGTGGTTTTTTTCGTATCGAAGAAATTTCTAGAAGAATTTTTATGATTAGTCGCGAATCATGCAGGATAGTATGCCTCTACAAAGGACGAGCCTCACAAATCACCCGTCGCGTGTTGGTGCACAGCGTGTTGGAGAAGCGATACCTCCACAGAGTGCTGAGTTCCAGGCTGTTCTCCACGCCAGGTTGGTCAGGTCTAGTGTTCCTACGCCCTTCTGAAGCAAGAATTCAACGTAAAGGTATTGAAGTTTGACATTTTTCTTTTCCTACTGCTATGCGAATGAGAATTTTTTTCAAATCAAAACAATTTTTGCTCTTACCTACATCTCTGACTTTAAATAAATTTGTTCGATTACACTCAAGGAGCTTCAACTAATATTATCAACAGTTCTTCTTGAAAAACTTTGTCACACTCTTATAGAAAATGAAATTATTTTCGTTGTCGTCCAGACCAAGGACGACAATGAAATGAAAAGTTAAAATGTCTAAGGATGAAATGTCTAAGTTAAACAGATTTTTCTAGTTGAACGATGAATAGAGTGCAATGTAATTCAAATAAGCATCCCAATGCGAGATCAGTATTCCCATTAATGTTACAATCAACATGAGATTCTGTAAGCCACACAGCGTACCAGTAAAGAACAGGGTCAATTTTTGCTCGTGCTAGCTTGTGAAATGAATACTGATAATTTACTTGTTTATGATCACACGATACCTTTATTAAAACGAAGCATGTAAAGACTTTAGTCAACATTAAACTGAAAGAATTATTCATGTATACAATTGTTCATATACAAGCTTCCTACTCTTTAAAACTTTCCTGATTTAATGTGTAACGCTGTATCTCTCGCCTATTTTTGCTACAACTATAACGCGGTAATGATGCTGGTCAGTTGTTACTCGAGGTAACGCACGAGTTGTTACTAATGCAATTCGTGGGTTGTAGTTCCGGGTTATAGTTGGTAGTTGCTCTGTTGAGTAATCATTCTGAGTCTCGTGTTGGTTGTCACTGTCAGATATTTGGTTCTTAATCGCAGATATACTGGGGTTTATACGCCATAAAATTTACTCATGAAAATTTATGAAAAAGATCGAAAAATTAAATGGCATGATAAATTGTATCTGTTTCTGTAATATTTTTTGGGATCTTAATTTTAAAATCAAATGTAATATAATGTTTATTGAAGGATTTTTCTTTTACAAGCCAAATTAACTGCATATTATTCTGTAAAACTCATATGATTCAACATGGTTTTCCACCATAAAGAATTTTGAAAAATGATACGGCGATGATGCGAGCTTGGACTTTTAATTGCATGTTAAATTGCGTGAATTATTTTCTCTGATGAATAGTGAGCGAGAATAATAAAAAAAATTATACATAAAAATTATAATACTGATTCAACTCAGCTAGACTGTCTCTAACATCTGCAAAACATGTCATGGTCACGCAACTCTAATAGGATTGAGTCTTAACATATCCGCAACCGTTTCTGTCCTGACTATAATTGACTTTACTGTCCTTTTAACATGGATAGGAGTAAGAGCTTACACACGACTGTTCTCGCCCAGGACTGCAGTTACAGGTTAAAAGTATAATGTTTTAATTATGGCCTATGCGTAGCTGTCACATATGGGCGTGAGTCGCTAGCGGGTAAGTAGGAAGAGGGCAGATGAGGAAGATTTCATGGACGTATCCCAATCCAGAAAATTATCTTCCAGCAAAGAAGTTATCAGTGAAAATATAATCAAGGCGGAATGACTGTAACAATTATCACCCGACAAAATTTTGACATTAAACTATCAGTAATTATTTCATCTCAAGGCGAGGCAATCATATTGTAACTCATTCCAAAATTAGTTCTAACAATCTCAGCGTTATTACGACGTTAGAACTACGCCGCATGAGCGAAACCACATTCAACGTTGTAATGTTATGTCAAAATGACGTTCCTGTATAAACGAGGCTCAAATTTTAATCCTAAACCAGTGATGCATCAGCATGATTCAGACGTAATGACAGATACCGGGAGATACATAGATACTCTCAACAAACACATGTTGACGAGTATAAATATTGATTTGGAAATTAAAGTATGAATCATCGTAGATTTCAAGTTGAATAATATTGTTTCAACAATTAATTTATATCTTTGAAATACTTTCAAAATTTGGAATATGATTGCTTCTTAATGAATTTAGGCCATGTTTTTTTCAAAACCATACATATATTCAGCTATGATTTGGCAGACTCATTATCAGAATAATGCTCATAAAGAAACAGCGGATTAATCTAGTTCACTTCCCTAGTCACAATCCGATTTTTCTACCAAAAAGAATTGTCTCTATGTCAGGGTACAAACCCACGTCTCGTTGCTGACAACTTAATACCTTCCACCACTTAACTGCTATGATGCCGTTATACCATCCTAACAGAGTTGTATTTTCAAAGCTCTAAGTTTTAATAAGATTGTACAGCAGTTCG